GAAGGCATTAACCCCCACCACCTTCCCTTGATTAAAGGGAGTATTTCACATTGGTTCTGTGCCCTTCTGGGGCTCTGCCTGCAAGCCTACTTTCCAGTGTTTCAAAGCCGAAAACACATTTAGAACTTCAAAGTCTCCTGGAAGATCTACCGTAATCATTACAATTCTGAGAGCTACAAGGCAGGCCAGGAGAGCAATTGATACGGCTGGCTCAGAAGCCGGAGCTCTCCATCTCCGTGACGAGGCGCCTCGAGGGAGGAAGGGCTTCGAGCAGCTCTGGGGAGCCTCGCTGCAGCCTGGGAGCGGGCTCACGGGGGGCTGGGGCCTCAGGATTTAGTGAAGGCCAGGCTGCTTCAGATTCCGATTCTGCTGCTGACTGGGCTTCTCCCCGGACAAGTTATATAAGATGCCCAGGCTCAGTGGCCTGCTCGGTGGAATAGACTCGAAGTGGTCGCAGTGGCATTAGGTGCCCATGACGGTGCTTGGTGACCTGCTGTGAGAGCCAAGTGACACCCCTGACCCGGGCTGACTCCCCCCTGTGCCCCTGTGGGCATCTCCTCTGCACTCAGACCCCTGGTGGGACAGGAACTACGTGCAGAGGGGAGGCGTGGGGTAGAGGGTCATCCTGCATGTGCCACACTTGAGACCCATTTGGAAAAGTCCCTTTGTCTTTTTGGTTCTCAGTGTCTCTGGAAAGTGGAGCCAGGAAGACAGGGGAGGCCAGAAGTTGGGGGTCAGGCCTAGTCTGGGACCAGCAACAGCTGGTGCTCACTAACTTGGGTTCACAGTCAGGGGTCTGCTCTTCTGTGGTTTCAAGAAGCGCTTGTTAAGCATCTCCCGGCACTTGGCCGTGGGCTGGAGTGGACAGAGTGGTTCTTAGAAGTCTCCAGTCTGGGTTGTAGCGATAGCACAGTGGGAAGGGCATTTGCCTTGCATGCCGCCAACCTGGCTTCGATTCCCAGCATCCCATATGGTTCTCTGAGCACTGCAGGTAGTAACTCCTGAGTGCAGAGCCAGGAGTAACCCCTGTGTATCACCAGAAGGTGCATATGGGCCAGTGGTCACCCTTGCTGGCCTGTGTGCCACTGGGTCATGGGTTCTGTACGCATCTATGTGAACTCTTTTTTTGTTTAACAGGCCAGTTTTACATGGCAACACAATCTTTTGCAGTTCCATTGTAGAAACTGTATTCTTGGAACCAGGGAAATGGCTGGGCGGTGAGCACATGTTTATCACGTGTGAGGCCCTGAGTCTGATGCCTGGCACCTCAGTCCCTTGCCCCTGTGTGAAGCACCTCATGTCCCCAGCACGGATGCGGACTACAGTCCTGATGTCCCCTAGAAAACTTATATTCTCATTGTAGGAATTTGGGTTAAACACAAAGAAAAGCTATTCTAAGAAAAATGCCCTAGTACCTTGGGATAGCTGAGATGTTTCCGTTTTCTATTTGTTTGTTTGAGTTTTGGTTTCTGGGCCACACCTGCGGTGCTCAGGGCTTACTCCTGGCTATGTGCTCACAGGTCACTTCAGGCAGGGTTCAGGGGTCACTCCTAGTACAGTTCAGGGGACTGTGCAATGCTGGGGATAGAACTTGGATTTTCTGCAGGCAAAACATCAGTTTTTCATTTTTTTTAATATTAAAAGATTATTTTAAAAGTAAATTCATTGGAACTCCATTACATGTACAGTGTGGGGGCTGAGCTTTTTGCTGGGTACCTTGCCATGAGCCTTTCCTTATAGCCTCAGCCATGCTCTACAGAAAGGTTTTCTAGGGTTACAGAGTGTTCTGAATTTACTCAACTACTCTGATATTTTTTTGACATTTAGGGGAAAATGGCTTTAAAAAGTGACTCCTGTTGGCTTGGGATATAATTTATGATTGTTCTCGTGTTCCCAGGATGATGACTCTGTGATGGAAATGTTCTGAGGTGCAGGGGAGGAGGGTTGACGGGATGACCACAACCCCCAGTCCTGTGGGTGCCTGGGCAGGTCCCGGTGGGGGCCTCCCGACTCTCCACCCCCCACGCCTGTGTGCGCTGTGACAGCTGATTGAAAGCCCTGGGTTGGTGCTGACTCCCGAGAAAGCACACCAATTTCAGGTTTCATCGGAGTTCAGGCAGCAAAGATGAGATGGTTGCTTTGCACATGGCAAGCACCTCATCTTTCACCCAGGTTCGATCCCCAGCACCCCATATGGTCCCATGAGCCCCGCTAAGAGTAATCTCTGAGCACAGAGCCAGGAGTAAGCCCTGAACACTGTCACGATGGCCCCCAAGCCAAAAATCAAACCAAACCAAACAACAACAACCAAAAACCACCCCCACACCCCAAACAGCCTAATTTAACCAATAGCCATTGATTCTAAGCCAGTGAGTCTTCTTTGGCAAGTTTTTGCTTACTAAAAGTAGGTGACAGGAGCTGGAGAAATAGTACAATGGATAGGAGCTTGCCTTCCATGTAGCCAACATGGGTTCGATGCTCTGCACCACCTCATATGGTTCCCCAAACACTGCCAGGAATGACCCCTAAGCACAGAGTCAGGATTAAGATCTGAGCCAGTGTGACGCATAAACAAAACAACCCCCCCTGCCCCGCCCTTCAAAAAAACCCAAAAAAGTGGTTGATGGTTGCATGTGATGGGGAGGTGGGGGTATCTGTGGAGTAGAGGTTGACTCCCTAATCCAGTTGCCGCTGACCCAGGATGCAGCTCTGGCCCAATCCAAGCAGCCAGGTGGGAAATCTTCGAGCTTTCAAACAAAACAAAACAAAACAAAAAACTGAGGTGAGGACACAGCACCTGGCCCCTTTCCCATCACCTCTTTCTCTGAGAATGATGCACACAGGCTGGGAATCTGATTTCAGTTCATTTCTGCTCCAGAGAAACCGATTAGAGGTTGAAATGAACAGCTGATCCCAGACCCTTCCGCCTTGGGGAGGCTGATACTCCCCAGATGCTTTCAGACCCTCTGGAGAAGAAAGTCATGGTCATTTCTGGCTCAGAATGCGCTGTGAGCTGTCCTGAGTTGATATCTATCTGCCTGCAGGGAGCTCGTGTTAACCAGAAACAGGATGTGAGTCCCTGGGTCACGCCTGGCTCCCTTTGGTGTCCTCTTGGTTGGTGGATTACATGGAATTTCAAAGGTTGGGGACTTCTCAGGGGATGAGACTGTCTTTTCTTCGTTGTATGGAGAGTGGCTCAGTTTAGGTGTCTGCATCCCTGAAGGCTAAGTTGGTGATGGCAGAGTGACCGTCAGGAGATGTAGAGTGTGACAGGGAATCAAGGAAACCTGAGGTCTGGGCATTTCGGGATGAGAACCTTTCCCCACAGCTGGATGAGCCCTACAATGTAGAAATCTGGGTTTGTGTCAGAGCCAGGGCGGGCTCTTCTGTGAACAGGCCCCTGCAGCATGGATCTCTATGAGGGAAGTCTTCTAACTCAAGAGATGAGGGAGGTTGAAAGGGCCACGAAAGAAAGAGAATGGGGGCTGGAGCCATAGCACAGCAGGGAGGACTCTTGCCTTGCACTTGACTGACCCGGGTTTGATCCCTGGCATCCCATGTGCTCCCTGAGCCCACCATGAGTGATCTCTGAGGACAGACCCAGGTGCCAGCCCTGAGCATCACCAGATGTGGTCCAAAAAAAAAAAAAAAGAGGCTTGCTCTTCAAACCATATTTGCTCTTGAATGTGTATCTCACTTGCCTATTTCTAGATCCATCGTTCCTCTTGAATATGTATTTCTTTCCTTCTCTCTCACATCTTTCTAAGAAAGTTTCATTCAGTAAAAGCCATCTTGCTTCACTGAAAAAAGAAAGAGGGGATGAGCCAGTGACTCATTATCTTTCTCTTGACTCTCTGCAAGTGACCCCGACTGAGAGCTCTGAGCGTCAGAGCACTGAGCGTCAGCCCCCAGGTACAATGGTGTTTTGGCTTTCTGTGGTCCCAGCTGGCAAAGGGTGGTTAAGAGCATTTGAATGTTCGGAAGTTGGGGTTGGAGGCAAGCCGCCATATTGGAATGCACCCCTGCACGTCTGGCCCCTGTTATCTCGTGGAGCTTTCTTGGACTCTGGTGTCTCCAACCCTTGTCCCTGCTCTCCTGCAGGTGTCACTGGGTCATTTGTCACATCCTCCCTTGGGGAATCTTCCCATGACTACTTCCACGAGTTCTTCTGTTTCTACTCTTTCTCTCTGGAGAGCCCTCAGGGCTGTGGACAGTGCTCTGGCAAGGCTCAGAGGTTCAGCTTTGAACTTGGGCACTGACCACTCACCCCACCCCCTGTGACCCCCTGTTTCCATATCTATAAGACTGCAACAGAGACCTCACGAAGTCAAGCCTCCTTTCGGCAGGGTACTAAGGTTGGAGCCCCGAAAGGTGGGCCCAGGGTCCTGTGGCCAGTAGGTGGGACCAGGCCTGTCTCCTGGGCTCCTGCAGCTACCTGGGGCTGGAAGGCTCGGGAACCCTGAGGCCCACCCCCTCTCCCATCCTCGGCAGGGCCCTTCTCCAGCCCTGCCCTCTCTGTTCTGTGTTCAGTCATTTCCATGCGGTCACCCTCCCGTGTCCTTCCCCTCCTGCCCTTGGCCTGAGCCAGGTGCTTTGGTTGCTGGAGGAGCTACTTTGTCACAAGGGCCAGGCCCTCAGGCACCGCCTGGCTTAGGTGGGTTAAGAGAAGGGACAGACCCCGGTGGCACAGTGTTGACGCCCAATCCTAGGAACATGCACCCGAGGAACGTGTTCTGTGCCTCAGGGCCATGGAATCCCCTTCCAAACTGCCCGGCCCCTCCCAAGGAGAGCACACACAGTGCCCTGCGCTCAGGCAGGCTTCATTCCAGGATACAAACACGGTTCAACCCTGGGAGCAGAGCTGGGGGTGCTGCCGAGACAGAGGGCTTCCTGCTCAGCCGCCCCCTGGGCTCAGCCCACCTGCCCTGCTTGCCTGCGCTCACAGTAAAGTGAGATGCTCGGCCATAGCCCCCCTAATCCTCTTTCTGTTTCTCCTGCAGGATTCCATGTTTTCCTTGGCCCTGAAATGCCTTATCAGTCTGTCCACCATCATCCTTCTGGGGTTGATCATCGCCTACCACACCCGTGAGGTCCAGGTAGGTGTCCCGGCTCTCCCCACCGGTGGCTGCTCATTCCGGTGCCCTGCTCACGGCGTGCTCATCCCACCGGGGCTGCTCACCACACACACCACACACTATACACACACCACACACCATACACACCACACCACATACACCACATGCCATATACACACCACACACCACATACCACACACACATACCACACACACCATACATCACATAACCACACACCATACACACCACACACCACACACCACACACCATACACAAACCATACACCATAAACACACCACACATACCATACACAAACCACAAACCACAAACCATAAACACAACACACACCATAAACACATCACAACATCACAAACCACATGCCACACACAACACACACTATATACATACCACACACACCACACCCATATACAAACCACATACCATAAACATACCACACACCACATATACCACATATCACATACACCACATACCATATACATCATACACCACATACCTCACACACCACACATCACATATACCACACACCACATACCACACACACATACCACACACCATACATCACATAACCACGCACCATACACACCACACACCATACACACACCACACACCACACACCGTACACAAACCATATACCATAAACACACCACACACACCATATACAAACCACACACCATAAACACATCACAAACCACATACCACACACACCACACACCATATACATACCACACGTACTACACCCAAACACAAACCACACACCATAAACACACCACACACACAGCACATATATCACATATACCATACACGATATACACCCCCACACATCACACATGCCACACAAACATTCATAAAGCACATATTATGCACACCGCACCACACACACACACACACACACACACACACACACCCACACTCCCCCATTCTGTCCTCTGGGTGCTGTTCGCAGATGCCTGAGATGGGGCGTCTTCTGGTTGAGAGCCTTGTGGGGCAGGATGTGGGTCGTGAGTCTGCTCTGTGGCTGTAGGACCATTGTGTTGTCATCTCCACAGGGACGGGGGAGCTTGTGGAGGCCAATGTAGCTGTGTTGTTGGGGGTCCCTCTTCTGGACCTGCATTTGGCTCTAGACTTGGCCTTTTTGGGTTGCTTGGCTGTGGATCTCTGGTCCTCTCTGCCGTGGACATCTGACCTGCCATGAGCTGACCCTCCCATGAACTGGCCGTGGTGTTGGTGACTCAGGTTGCTGTGTTTTGGGGGCATGACTACACTGGCGGGCTGGGAGGTCTCCTCCCAGAGAAGGGCATTGCTTTCTGTAAGGGCCGCAGGGATGACAGAGAAAGATCCAGATGGTTGGGCAGCTACTGCTGCGGGATTCGACTCGGCCCAGGTACTATGCTGGGGTGTGCATGCCTGGATGCCGTGTCCCCGACACCCCAAAGTAGCTTCCCCCACAGAGCCTGGCCTGGAGAAAGAGGTACATTTTCACCCGGACCCACGCCCGTCAGCCCCAGCAAGTAGCTGGGGCACCGGAGGAGGAGCTGTGATGCCTCTAAGGAGTAACTGGTCACATCCAGTCCCCTCCACCCGCCTCGGGGCTCCTGTGTGCTCTAAAGGGAGCTGAGATTACTTGATGTCACCTCCGCTGAGCAGAGGGTCTCATGGGGGACAGAGCACAAGGGCAGATCAGACGCTCTGAGCCAGCCCGAGGGAGCAGTGGTGTGGTGGGGAGTTCAGCTCTCTCACACATGCGGGGCTCCCTGAGCCTGGGCCCTGTCCAGTCAGGGGGGGGGGGGTGAAGATGCTGCCCCCCTCTGTGCTCTTGGTTCTTGTTCTCTCCCTGGGGCCTGCAGTCGTGGTGGGTGGGCAGCTGCTGTGCGTGAGCTCAGGGCCCTGTTTCCTGGGCTCTGAGTAGCAGAGAGGCTGCCCTGGGTGAGAAGGGACAGAGTGGGGGGGGGGGGGCAGGTACTAGTCCTGCTCGGTGAGTGACCCTGGGCCAGCCATGACTCTGTGGGGTCAGGCTCCCGTGGGCGGAGTAGGAGCGCTTCCCTGCCTGGCTGTGCACCCGAGAGGACGGAGAACAGCCCGAGTGAGAGCAGCTGTTACCGGGAGAGAGAGCTTGAAGCCTTTCCCGTCCCCTCTGACCCCCGTGTGCAGCTGGGCCTCGTCCTGTGTGAGCCGGCCCAGCAGATGGCCCCCGTCACACCCGGCGCTCCCGGCAGGCGCTGGGCCTCCTTCCTGCTGTGGCCAGCCCTGGCGCCCATCCAGCCTGCAGGAAGAGCCGTGCCCTGGTGCTCTCATGCCTCCGACCTCCCCAGCAAGTGGCTTCTGCAGGGCTGGGGCAGAAATGCGGGACGGGCACTGAGGCTTGCTGCTGGCATCTTCTGTGGCCCTCCTGCTGTTCCTCTGGGTGCACGTCCTCATCCACCTTCATGTCCAGGACCCATCAGGGTGACAAAGAGGAGGGTTTGCAGTCTGTATTCTGAATGCACAAATGTCAGTGTCTGCCATCCGATCACCAGCTTAGCTCCATAGCCTGTTTTCTCATCTGTTGACCCTGTGCCCTAAGGCCCTAATTCTGTGCTTGTTTGATTTGACTACTTGGATGGTGTGTGTGTGTGTGTGTGTGTGTGTGTGTGTGTGTGTGTGTGAGAGAAAGAGAGTGTATGTGTGTGAGTGTGTGTGTGAGAGTGTATGTGTATGTGAATGTGTAAGTGTGAGAGTGTGAATGTGTGTGAGTATGTATATGTGTGTGTGAATATGTGTGAGAGTATGTATGTGTGAGTTTGTGAGTATGTGAGTATGAGAGTGTGTGAGTGTATGAGTGTGTTTGTGTGTGAGTGTATGTGAGAGTGTGAGTGTGTGAGTATGTATGTGAGTGTGGGTTGTGTGTATGTGAGTGTGAGTGTGTGCGAGTGTGTGTGTGTGTGTGTGTATGTGTGATGGTTTTACTGAGGCTCCTCAGTGTGGAAGGAGGCATTAACTTATTCAGAAGCAAGACTTTGATACCCTCTTCCTAGTCTGTGCTGTGCAGCGGGCTGGACTCGGGGATGACCCAACCCCTCTGTGGGCTCATGTCAGGGGCTTGTGTTAGGGGTGTGGCCTCCACCTTCCTCATCCAAATCACTTGCTGGTCATGCAGCTAAATGTCTGAGGGGCTGACCATGTCTCTCTCCATCTGCCACCCCCCTCCTCTCAGCCCCAGGCCTGGCCCAGTGCTCATACAAGGCAGGAGGGAGCTTCTAGAAGATTGTCCTTATGTGTGAGTTTGGACAGCTTGTGTTTTTAAAAAGGAGAATTCAGAGACATAATCGGGTCACTCCCAGCCAAGCTCTGATTTCTGGTTGTGGGGCTTCAGGCTTAGCCGTTGTCAAGGGCGACAGACGTGCCTCATCCCATCCTTATAGCTCTGTGGGCCAGCCCGAGGCAGACGAACAAAGGGATTGTATGTCCTGAGGGTGATCTGAGCTCCTGGAGAGTCTGCCTTCCACTGAGGGCAGCAGCCCTGGAGGTCCCACAGCCCTGGTCACTTCTTGTCAGTGAAGGGGGCGCTGTGACAGCAAGGACAGCTGGACAGTTTGCAGCATGGGGCCCTCAGAAGCTGCACTTCTGTTACCTCAGCCGGACCTTACAGAAAGAATCCGTATGACGGACTGAGGAGCAGTGGGGGCCTGGGCTGAAGGTCAGACCAGAGGTGACAGGGATGGTGCTGGAGGCTCATGGAAGCCTCGGGGTGGTGGTGGCGGGGCAGTAACAGTGAACATCAGAACCATTAACATCAACACCATTGTAGCCACCTCACCTGCATTCTAAATTAAAAAATTTAAAAATAAGAATGAAATGAAAACAACAGCCAGTACATTTTGTTTATCTACCAAGGCTTTGAGAAACCTCCACTCCCTTAGCGAGACCTCCTACTCCTGGGGTCTGATAATCCCAAGAACTCCCAGATGGGCGTGGAGCTCTTGCAGTCGGCTCACAGTGTAGATGCCATCTACAAGGACACAATCAGCACACAAAACACCTGGCTCACCATCGCTCCCCAGAATCTCCCCTCCCACACTCTTGATTGTCCAGATCCCTCATCCTTCCATTTATCCACCCATCCATCCATCATTCCATCTGTTGGTCCACCCACCCACCCACCCATCCATCCATTCACCCTTCCATCCTTTCATTCAATCTATTTTTTTATTCATCTATCCATCCTCCCATCCACTTCCTTCCTCCCCCTCTGTGTTTGGTGAGGGTTTGTCTGTAGAGCTGGAGCTGGGCCCTGTTCTGGGCTAGAGATCCCAAAGTCCCTTTGCTTCTCCAGGGAGCTGCCAGCCTTCATTGATTCTCTGGCTCTAATTAATGTCCCTGCTGTCATCCCGGAAGGCAGGAAGGCAGGAGGCTGAGGACACAGGCATTAGAGTCTCCTGACTTAGCTTCACATCATGATCTTTGTCATGTCCCTTTTTGGTGTCCTTTAGCAAGTTACTTAATCTCTCTTATAATTACTTTTTTTTCCTTGGCAGTATGAGCCTGATAAGAATACTCACTTCAAAGAATTGTGCAGATCCAATGAGATGCATTAACAGAGCATTTTTTTTTTACCACATCCAGCGATGCTCAGGGGTGACTCCTGGCTCTGCACCCAGGGATCACACCTGGCTGGCTCAAGGGACCATATGGGGTGCTGGGGATTGAACCTGAGTTGGCAGTGTGCAAGGCAAATGTCCTACCCACTGCACTATCGCTCTGACCCCAGTGACAGAGCTTGCGTTTGCTTAGCAGATGGGAAGGGTAGCTCAGGCAGAGATGAAAAACGAGTCTCTGAGACAGAACCGGCAGGTGCCTGGAGAAGGGCAGGGGTGGACAGGGTGTAGTCCCCCCGGGGAGGTGGATGGAAGGACAGCTGCCCCAGGGAAGGCAACGGTGGGAGTAATAGATGGAATGGAGCTGGGGAGAGAGGGTGGGCATGCAGCTCTCCAGCTACAGAAAGGAAAATGGTTGAAGGACCAACT